GGGGGGGGGGGGAGGTACAACGGATCCGGGGGAAAGAGAGGCGTGTGGTGCAGTGCACGGGGACTTACTCTCTCTTTGTGTGTGTGCCACTGAGCGGATTTCAGGCACTCCCATTCGCGCGGCGTTGCATCGCGTCCAACGTGCTTGACCTTCCTCCTGGTGCGTGTGTGTGTGGCCCCCACTTCACATATCCCTGCGCAGAGCTGTGGGGCATGAGTCTCCAATCGAAACAAATCTGCTCCTTTTTGTGCTGGCTTTTTTTTTTTCTTTTCTTTCTTTGTTTTCGATCTCCATTGTGTATTACTTTCATCGTTTTTTTTTATTTTTTATTCTTGTTCTGTGAGTGCGCATAGAGAGTTTTTGCGAATCTTGCAAGTGTAGGCGACGTTCAGACGGCCCTGGTATTCGGATCCTTCAGCGGGGCCGGTGTGTACTTCACCTGCAGTCTGCGTGGCACCGCCATGCTCATTGCCAATGTCCGCCGATCATATCGGTTCCAAGGCCTATGATGTAGGCGACTACAAATACATCGCACAGGACGAGTTCGTGAGGCCAAAGAAGACTGTCTTCAGGGCGGATATCTTCGCCTTCTGCAACATCATAGCAGTCGCCTTCCAAGTTATGGCGGGTGCACTCGTGCTGACACTGTGGGTGCGGTGATTCTCACGGCTGGCTCACCTTGTTTGTGGCACATATTCCAATGATGGTGGAGCTCATGGTCGTCGTTACGCTGCCGGAGCGCGGCACTATCACAGGCAGCGGCGGTGGTGGTGTGTTCATGCTGCTGGCTGCGTAGGCGGGTGCGGGAAAGGCGGCATTTGATGTAACGTACTATGCGCTGGCCAGCACCATGCTGCCCAAGTTTGTGTCGGTGGTTCCCTTCAGATGCGCCTTCTCTGGTGTGGTGGCGTCGACGCTGCAGTGCATCGTCAATGCATTGATGATGCCCACGTGCCAGTCGACTACCGCTCATTCGCACCTTTACTTCTCGTTTGCGCTGGACTTCATGGCGCTGGCAGCTATTCTAGGCTCTCTCCTCCAGTATGGCTCCTTTCGCCCAGCGGGACGTTTGGGAATATCGTATTCTGAAGCGAGATGGTGATGCCTCCAGTGCGTTACCAGGCGACAGAAAGGGGATGGAAGGGGCGGTAGTGCGCGGGGAGACTTTGAATGAGCCGTTGGACGGTCATGCCACTCGAATGGGCAGTGGGGAAGGAGTGAAGAAGTTGCCGTGTGTGGATGGGGAGGAGGAATGTCGTGTCCAAACGACCGAAATGGCAACTTCGAAGAAAGCAATGCTCCATTGATATTAGACCTATTCTGAAGATGATCTGTCCCATGCAGATCGCCTGCTTCTGCGTGTTCTTCCTCTCGCTGTTCATATTCCCTAGCCTCATCATTCCCATTGACCGCG